CCGTTCATGCTCTGTCTCTGTCTCAAAAATAAATTAAAAAAACGTTAAAAAAAAAAAAACATTTAAGAAGGATATCAGAAATCAAAAAGTATAAAAAATCTTAGATTTCTTCTGAATAATTTATAATTTGGAAAAGCTTTTATAGTCTAGAAGTAGGGGTCATTGTTTTGCTAAGGGAAGAGGAAAATGAAATGAATAGATTGCATAGAAATGCTAACTAAGGATATATCTTCGTTTAGTATTGGCTTAAGCATTAATAGTATTTTCCAGGCAAGCCTCACTTTATGGGATGGCTGGTAGGTGACTTTGCTTCAGATTTGCAGGTTGGTGGATAATGCTGTTATGATTTGTGTGATTGCATTGCATGTGATAACAGCCTCATGAAATACTTCATTTCCTTAAAAGCAGTGGCCTAAATCATAAAGATACATAATGCTTTCTTTCATTTAATGGTTTCATTAAAGATAGTCTCTGTCTCTTGGATAGGGCAGATTGACGTTTGGTTTTTTCCTTCTCAAACTTCTCGTTTTATTGTTACCATCATATCCTAGAAATAATGGGAAAGAAGGTTTTTTTTTTTTACCCCCCGCTGTGGTTCTTTTATTAGGGAGCAGAATTTTCCAGGAACATTCTCCTGCCCTAGAAGATTTCTTCTCTGTTTCATTGGCCAGAACTAGATCAATGGCTGCCTAGTTAGGAAAGAGTTTAGAAAAGTGAGGCTCTGCTGAAGTTGGGGAGGTAGTGGCTATTGGATAAGCAAACATGGTCTGCTCTGGGAAGCTAATAAACTCTTTTCTGAATTAAAATAAAAGCTTTTTTTTCCCTTTTTTTCTTTTAAGATTTTATTTTTAATCTCTACACCCAATGTAGGGCTTGAACCCACAGTCCTGAGATCAAGAGTCTCACGCTCTACCAACTGAGCTAGCCAGGTGCCCCAGAATAAATGCTTTTGAATGAAGGATTTTCATGCTAACATTAGAATGTTTCTCTGCCTAGGTACTTGTGTATAAACCGAGGGTTAAGCTCTTTTCCCCTCTTATTTCTATAACGATATTTATCCTGCCATTGACTACTAAGCTTGCATTTTTTTTTTAATTTTTAAAAATTCACTTATTTTTAAAAATATGCCTCGTGCCTAGTGTGGAGCCCACAGTGGGGCTTGAACTCACGATCCTGAGCTGAGATCAAGAGTCGGATGTTTAACCGACTAAGCTACCCAGGCGCCCCAAACTTGCATTTCTTATTTTAATTTTTTTTTTTTTTCAACGTTTATTTATTTTTGGGACAGAGAGAGACAGAGCATGAACGGGGGAGAGGCAGAGAGAGAGGGAGACACAGAATCGGAAACAGGCTCCAGGCTCTGAGCCATCAGCCCAGAGCCCGACGCGGGGCTCGAACTCACGGACCGCGAGATCGTGACCTGGCTGAAGTCGGACGCTTAACCGACTGCGCCACCCAGGCGCCCCTATTTTATTTTATTTTATTTTAATTTTTTTTTCAAAAACTTGCATTTCTTTATAAAGCTTAGAAAAGAGGCCAAGAACTTGTATCAACCAGAGGCTGAGGGAACTTACCTAAGGAAGACGCCAATTTTTAATTTTTTTGTGAAAGACCATGCTCTGTATCCCTTCTTGTTTCATTGTTGTATGCTCATTGTATAGGAGTTGTGATGTGCTGTGGTAGTTTACTTAGGCATTTTCCCTTGTAAGTTTCTAGATGTAGTTTAAAATGATCAGGGAAAAACTAAAGGTCAGATGGGTATATGTTACACTTGATCTTAGCCAAAAGGCCGAGAAGCGATCACATAGGTATATATTAAAGATATTGAATATTGGGGTGCCTGGGTGGCTCACTTGGTTAAAGTGTCTGACTTCGGCTCAGGTCATGAACTCGCTGTTCATGAGATCGAACCCCACACTGGGCTCTGTGCTGACAGATTCACATTCTGCTTCACATTCTGTCTCCCTCTCTCTCTGCCCCTTCCCCACTCGTGTGCACGCTCTGTGTTTTTCTTCTTCTCTCTCTCAAATAAACGGTAAAAAAAAATATATTAAATACTCATTCTAGATCCTCATTACATGACAGTATCCCAAACTTGACAGAAAAAGCTCCTTTCTCCCATAACTTTGCAGTTACGTTCTCTAGACTCTACTACCACTTTACAGCTGCTTCCCTGGGCTTGAAGAAGCTCATGCTCACCGCATTATTTGGTAATAGTGGTGGTAATATAGTGATCCTATGATTGTGGCTGAAAAACTTCCTGAGACTAAGTATGGCTACCAAAAATAAGATGGTACAGAGAGTGGCTGTTTGACTGTTGGAAGGGACTTAGTTCTGGCCTTATTTCCGAGGACATCGTATCACTGGCTTACTCATTGAAGTTGCTGGTAGAGATTGTTACTAACATTCAGGTATAGGACTTGAAAGTAATGAAGGAACGTTATCTATCATATTGATTTGGTCAGTATATCTTTAATAATCTAGAACCATTTTCTGTTTGTTATTTTTGGGACTAGAACTGCATTACTCTCCAGAAACACTTTGTCTTATACAAATATAGAGTAACAGTCTCTCCTCCCCCATCTTTTTTTTTTTTTTTTAATTTTTTTTTTTTTTTCAACGTTTATTTATTTTTGGGACAGAGAGGGACAGAGCATGAACGGGGGAGGGGCAGAGAGAGAGGGAGACACAGAATCGGAAACAGGCTCCAGGCTCTGAGCCATCAGCCCAGAGCCCGACGCGGGGCTCGAACTCACAGACCGTAAGATCGTGACCTGGCTGAAGTCGGACGCTTAACCGACTGCGCCACCCAGGCGCCCCCCCCTCCCCCCATCTTTGATAGTTATGCTGGAATCCTTAGAAATGTAACGAATCTATAAATCCCTTTATGGGAATCACAGCTGCTGTATGGAATCCATGTTCCTGTTAATGCCTGGACTTGGCCCAAGTTTACTTGCCTATGTTGAAACTTCCTGTTATTTTAATGATGAGTTTTACTGCTTCTTCAATTCAGGCAGTGAGTTTAGTCCTATAAAGTTTCCCTTCTAGATCATTTAAGAGAGAGAATAAAATCATATCCAACACTGGGAAGCACTCTGTCTAAACTTTTCTGTCTCTGTCTTTTCTATCTAGAGAAGTTGTTTTTGCCTTTGTGTGTTACAGCTTGTCTTCAAGAGCAGGTGTCCACTCAGGAGACAGGCTTGAGTGTGTAACCTCAAAACTGAAAGCCAATTGAGAAGGACAGATAAATGCTTTCACTCATATGTGGAACTTGAGAAACTTAACAGAAGACCATGGGGGAAAGAAAGGGGGAAAAATAGTTACAAATGGAGGGAGGGTAGCAAACCATAAGAGACTTTTAAATAACAGAGAACAAACTGAGGGTTGATTCGGGGGGAGGGGCAAATGGGTGAGGGACATTGAGGAGGGCACTTGTTGGGATGAGCACCGGGTGTTGTATGTAAACGATGAACCATGGGAATCTACCCCCAAAATCAAGAGCGTACTGTACACGCTGTATGTTAACCAATTTGACAATAAATTATATTAAAAAAACCTGAAAGCCAATTATGTCAGTTCTCTATCTACCTGAATAGTCAAAATCTTAAAGCTATTAGAGTGATTGTCTACTGTGTAAGAAGCCATGTTGCCATTGCCCAAGTCCTTTTATCTTTCTTAAGCCTCGTGGACACATTATTTAGGTTGATCAGTGCGGAGTACTTCGGTGGGGTTTTGTTTTCAGATTTGCATTCCTGACAGGTTCTTAGATCTGTGATTTTCTTGGCCCTGTTGGAGTTACCTTCTAGTTCCTCCTATCTTTCTTTCCCTTCCCATGATGAGCTAATTATCTATAATAGATTTGGAACTTCTACATGCTGACACTTTGAAGCACAAGAGTGCTAATTAGTATTATGAAACACTTTGATGTCTACCTGAGCTTTGATTGGTCTTTGGGATTTTTCCTTGGGATATCTGTCAAGGTAGGAAACATAAGTCATGTTGAAAAGTTGAAGATATTTTATTTAGCCTCTTCTGTCACTAGTGCTTATGAACAAAAACTTTATATTGAATCTGGGCTTTTTTTTTTTTTTAATATTTATTTGTAAGTAATTTCTACACCCACTGCGGGGCTTGAACTCAAGAGTCACATGCTCTGTTGGCTGAGCCTGCCAGGTGCCCCGAATCCAGGCTTGTTTTATATTTGAGTTAATGCATAAGAACCAGAAGTGAGATCTTGAACTATGTTTCAGGTTTTCTTTGGGGCAGGGTTTCTCAGGAGTTTGAAAATGTATGGGGCATTGCTGGTGTTGTGCGGCATGGGGAATGCTGTCGGCATGGACGGAAGGGAGCCAGGAGTACTGTGTGTTCTGCGCACATGCACTGTCCAGAGCAGCACTTTGTCTTTGCTCACACGTTGGTGACGTCACAGTTGAGAAACGTCATCTCGTGATTGAGGAACCTTAATGCAGTGTTAAAGTTTAGGACAGATACATTCAGATCAGGTGTCATGAGGCCTCTTCATGAGTTTAACTTACACGGTAGCTTTTGTGTTTTTATTGTTTTGAAGTATAATTGACTTAAACACACATTTATAAAGGTTCAGGTTGATGACTTTGGATGCGTGTGACACTGAAGAACCCATCTGTAACACCTCCTGCTTTTCTTGCTCCCTGCCCCCAGCAACGTCTGATCTGTTTTCTGTCACTGTAGATTAATGTGCATTTTCTAGAGTTTTGTGTAAATAAAACCATACAACACGTACTCTTTTCCTGGCTTCTTTCAGCATAATTTTGAGATTTCATCCATGTCATCACGTGTTATTAATGTGTCACATATGTTTCTTTTTTTATTACTGGATAGTGTTCCATTTTACAGATGCACCGTAATGTGTATATCCAGTGACCTGTTAGTGGCCATTTGGGTGTGTCCACTTTTGGGATCTTAACAAGAAAGATGTTTCAGTCATGTGCAAACTTTTTTTTTTTTTAAAGAACTTTTAATTACTTTTCTGTACAGAAAATATAATGGTGTCCACTTAGCCCAGTTTGGGGGCCAGTTTTTTTAGGCTTCGCCTTTTTCACCTTGGCGATGCAAGCCACTGACTTTGGACCTGGGATGTTGCCTCCCCAGTGACTGCGGGTCTCATCGTATCTGTCATTGTCATTGGTCCCGATAGCTTCCAGCAGCCTAGCCAGAGCTCCTTTTTCTTCCGAGTTAACCTGTGGGAAGGTGACAGTGGTGCCGGTCTTCCTGGGGACCAGACACCCCAGGCTGGCCTTCCTCTTGATAACGCGGTAAGGGACCCCCGTCTTCGGACACAGGGCAGGCAGGGAGACAGCCCACTCACTGGGATCCACCTTGTGTGCAGTCGCTACCTGCCAAGCCTTCTTGCTTTCCACCAGGGCGGCGACAGTATTAACCCCAGCTCGAAGGACAGGCAGCCTCTTGGAGGGGACATCCCCTTTCCTGATCGCTCTCTTCTCAGCCTGGACTAACAGTCTCTTCTCCTTCTCTTGCTTTGTCTCTGGGCTGTACTTGGGGGCCAGTTTAAGCGTTTGAGTAGCCATTTGCCCATCCCAGGCATGGGTGAACCGGTTAATTGCAGGAGGCACTCTCTTAGACGTTTATAGAGAACAGCCCTTTGTTCCCGCGGCCAGATGTAGCAGGGCCATGTGCACGTACAGACTTCTAGTATGAACATGTGCTTTTCTTTTTCTTGAGTAAATACCTAGGAATAGAATAGCTGGTTAATACGGTAGGTATATGTGCTATTAAACTGCCCAACTGTTTTCTTTCTATCTCTGTCTCTTTTTTTTTTTAAATTTTTATTTGCATTTATTTTATATAGAATTTACTCCCAGGCTGTAAGTTTTGTTTCTTCATTTTCTTCTGGGATATCTTTTCCGTCTTTGCAGCTTCCTCTTCCAGCTTAGGAGCAGTCTGCCCTTTTAGTAAGGATCGTCTCATTGTGGCAGGGAGAGCTCATCTATGGGTTAATCTGACCATGAGCCCTGTAAGCTCTATACTGCGTCCTGCAGGCTTTGTTTACCTGGATGTGCTCAATGACCAGAGGATCATCTACATCCTTACGTTCAGCATGACTCTGCATTTTTAAGCATGTTCACTAAAAATTGAGCGCTCTTTTTGGACCACTGATTCTGTGTCCAGCCCCACTGTGTGGCCTGGGTGCACCTATCAGCTCTACGATGGCAGTGATGGAAGGGCATACATTGCTTCTCTAAGGTGGTGTCCTTTGGATACACATACCCTCGATGGCCTGGGCAGTTTCCCCTGGGTCCTTGAAGTGAACACAGGGATTTGAGCCTCTTGATTTGTGTGATTATGTAGGGTTTCCTGGGTCAAGTGAATAGCGAACCATTTTCAAAGATCACCCCAGGCTGCCTATGGGAAGAGTGGCCAACTGTTTTCCAAAGTGGTTGTGCTATTGTACGTTCCCACCAGCAGTTTCTCCACGTTCTTGCCAATCTTGGTCTGGTCCTTTTGATTTTAGCTATTCTAACAGGTGTGTAGTAATATCTCATTATGGTTTCAATTTGTTACCAATGAATGGTGCTGCGCATCTCTAGAGTGTGTGTATGTGTGTTTGATGGTCTGTGTAAATCTTTCTCCTGTTTTTAAAAGTTAGTTAGTTTTTTTTTTTTTTATAATTGAGTGTTGAGAGTTTTTTTAGTTTCTAGATGCAAGTCGTTTATCAGATAATATGCTTTGCAAACGTTTTCCTTCAGTCTGTGGGTTGTTGTATTCACGCTCTTTTGACGAAAACGGAAGCTGTTAATTTTGATGAGGTCTAGTGTATGGGCTGGTTGTTGTGTGGATTGTACGACTATTGTCATATGAGAAATCTTTGTCTAACCTCAGGTCATGATTTTCTCCAGGGTTTTCTGTGATAAGTTCTGCAGTTTTAGATTATACATTTAGGTACGTGATCTGTCTTAAGATAGTTTTTGTTTATGGTGTGATGTATGGATCAAAGTTCATTAAAAGAGAAACCTTTTTGGCAAATGGATATCCAGTGGTTCCAGCACCATTTGTTGAGAAGATGATCTTTTCTCCTTTGTGCTTTTGTCAGAAATCAGTTGTCCTTATATAACGATTCCCGAAGTCAGATATTTATTTTCATAACTCAACTTTGTATTTTTTTAAAGCTGCTTTGGCTTTTGTAGGCGCCTTACATTTGAATGTGAATTTTAGAATAAAAATCAGTTTCTACAAGACAGCCTGCTTGGATTTTGATTGGGATGGCTTTGAACCTACAGATGAGTTTGCTCTTTATTTAATGTCTCTCAGCAGTGATTTATAGTTTTCGTTGTACATGTTTCTCACATGTTTTGTCACACTTACCCCTGGCTGTTTAATGTTTTTTGATGCTATTGTAAATAATGTTTAAAAAACTTGCTCTCCAATTAGGTCTTGTCCAATAAGCATGTGGCTCCTGATCATCTGTTGCAAATCTGCCAGCGCATTGGTCCCATGTTGGATAAAGAAATTCCACCCAGTATTTCAAGAGTCACTTCTTTACTTGGTGCAGGAAGGCAGTCTTTGCTACGTACAGCAAAAGGTACCTTAATTTGAAGAAGTGTTCTGCTTTGTAGCTTAATGATAATTATAATTGTGAAGTAATGTAAGCATTGTGGAAGAAAGGCGATATGTAACTATAAACCATGCTGTGGACTATAAAATTCTCTGCATTTAGCATAGACATTGAATTTTACTACGTAAGTGTTTAATGGGTCCTTCTGCATTAAAAAAATGACAAAGGTATAGATGTTAAGCGAAAAAGCTTGAATTTATTCTGAGATGTGTTTGAGGTTTTCTTGATGTGAGTTCTTAATTTTCTATTTTGTAGCTCACTTATAACTTTACTGAATGTAATTGTATGTGTCTAATAAACTCTTTAAATGCTAGAAGTATTTTATTTGGTATTTAGATTCCGAAAGCCCTTTGTTATAAGGGGAAGTGATTTTCTAAATTTGGGAGCAGTTTGAAAACAAGCACCAAAAATGTACAATTGCATGGTTCTTTTTTCACCAATTTAATTTTTTTGCAAAGTTATGTGGTAGCAAAATGTTTGGAATTGTTGTTCTTCTCCTGTTAGCTTGGTATAAATCACTTAGACTAAGTACATGTATGTGATATGATCTATGTATACAACGTGGCCTAACTGCTGATGGGCAAGAATGTTGGCTCTTCGGATCCTGAGCATCCGTCCAGTTCGTCCCCCGTGATTATCTTTAAGATCTGTTGCTGATGTGATGCCACCTCTTAGGTGTGCCACCAGTACAAAGCTTGACTGAGAAAGAACAACCCTCCTTCTTGGTTCCATGCCAGACCGCTTTGTCGCCCTTAGTCATTTCTTAGTGCTCTGTGGCCCTGCCACACTGTGGCTTGGCTCAGGAAACTGTTCTTACTCTCCCTTCTCTGTGTTCCTATTCACCTTGTAATTATTCTATTTTAGGCTGTTATGTAGTAGTTGCCCCAAATGGCCTGTTTCCCTCTGTTTTCTTTACTTGTGTCAAGCTCCGTGTTGTTTTGTGATGAGCACTGCTTTAGAACCGGCAGACCTTAGAAGAGACTTGAGCCAGCTGCCCTAGGGTAGGGTCCGTATCTCTCTGTTTTGTACTAGTGTCACGAGAGGATGCCTTGTAACCGCTCTTTGGTCATGATGGTGGCGATGAATCCATTCATGTAAAACGTAACATGCGTGTTAGGTTGGGGCACCCGAGGCTCAGTAGAGGTTTCTGTGATGCCTTCCTTCCCTTCCTCTTTCACTTGTGAAGAAGCTGATTTCTGGCCCAGCGTAATCTGTGCTCTGCTGCTCTCTCCTCTAGGGGGGGCAGATGATGTTTCTTCGTATGTATTTGCCGATAGGTCAAAGAGGGACGGGACTTGAGAATGAGTGTTCAGACTCCCAGATCCTACATGCGTGCTCTTGTGTAAAGGATTATCCATGATCCCAAAACAAGAGGAAAGGCATTTGATTTTGTCCGTATTTCCTAGGGAGATTAAAGTCATGGTAATATTGGCCAAAATTAATTTTAAGACTCCGTTAACGTTTTAAGGATTTTCATATAGATCAAATTTTTCTTACAAAAATTTCCATTTTTTGGAAAGTTGGATCAGTTGTGATTAAGATCTCGTATCACTAATACCGTGTGGTATGATTCTGCATGGCAAAATAAAAACTTACTTGGCATTGAATAGGACTCGGAAGTCCAGCGATCTGGTTGTATGGTCCATGTAGACTTAACCACTTGCAGCGGATCTCTTTCAAGGTCCTGGAACCTTTGAGCCTCAGTTACCTCACTTGTACATTGGCGATCATACCTACCTCACAGGGTTGTTGTGAGGATTCAATGAGATCATGTACGTGGAACGCACTTTGTAAATTGTAAAGTGCTACGCTGATGTTAGTTGTTGTTGTTGTATCTGAGATGTCTTCATTTTTTTTCCCCTTCAGAAATAGTCTAATAAACCTCTAGGGCTTTTCTGTTAAAGTATATTAGTTGGTACAACTTTGAATAAACAGTTTATTACAATATACGTAAGTATTCTATAAAATCTTTCTTGGGGTTAACTTTCAAGATTTTATGTGTATCTAAAATTCGTTTTAAAGACTGCAGGCACACAGTTTGGAAGGGCTCTGCCTTTGCTGCTCTTCACAGAGGAAGACCTCCCGAAATGCCGGTGAATTATGGTTCCCCACCGAGTCTTGGTGAGTGAGCTTGCCTTTTCAGATGAGCGAAACAGTCTTTTTACTTTCTTGACCAGTTTTGTAACTGCTCTATTAAAATTTAAAAGGAAATACTGGTAGTAGTGTTTCAGTAGTGATGAGTACCGGTTTCCAAAGTGGCTTTCCTGAAGTTATTCCTAAACGCAATAAACATTAATGAAAGACAATCTTGTTGCAATAAGCCCTTAATAGTGATTATAGTAAAACAGAATTGGGGAGAAACTTGTGTCTGTCCTTAGGATTTCTGGAACATAGGTTCTGTGACCTCTAGAAATTGTTGTGGAGTTTTTCGTTTTTTTACATATTGGCTCTTCCTTAACCATTTTCATTGTTTTTATTTCCTAGTGGAGATACATCGAGGAAAACAACTCACAGGGTGTTCCACTTTTAGCACAGCATTTCCAGGAACCATGTATCAGCACATCAAAATGCACAGAAGGATTCTCGGACATCTGTCTGCTGTTTACTGTGTAGCATTTGATAGGACAGGACATAGAATCTTTACAGTGAGTTAATGTTTTAAACTCCATTTGGTATCAATCTGGAGCACTTGCGTGTGGGTTAGAATCATCTAGGTAATCTTCTAAAACATGTAGGTTCTATGCTTCCTATTCTCAGGGATTTTGACTCCATGGGTCTGATGCGGGGCCCATGAATTTGCATTTTTATTAAGTAGCCCAAGTGACTCAGATGCAGGTAGCTAGGCCTTTAAGGTGTTGGTGAGACATTGATGTAGAGCTGTGGTTCATGGGCCTGATTGTCAAGGATCTTAAAAATATACACGCCTAATACTTCCCCTCCAGCCTATTCTAGACCTGCTAATGATGTTTCTAGTATGTCTAATAACCAGAACAAACCAAAAAACTTCCATAAAAATCTAAATCTCTACAGGTGATTCATACTCACATCGATTACTCATTGATACAGAGAAATTGATTACTTGAATACTGCAAGATTATTTTACAATTATTATAAAACTATACATAAATATTTGTAATTTAATTTACCATTTTAATATTTTAAGGGAAAATTATAAGGGGTCACAAATTTAAGTTTCCTTTTTCAGTTGCGAGATTCGGAGTAGAGACTCAAAAGTGGACTGAGTTAGATGGGTGTTGGCTGGTGCTACAGATTTGAGACTCTGTTGTCTGGTTATTTAGAATGAGGGTGCTAGTCCCATTATTTTTTAATTGTTTTTGGGATTTCCACTCAGCCTGTGATCCGTATATCTGTCCTAACGTGTATCAAATTATTTAGCTTGATGTGAGCTAAACTGACATTTAACCATTGTTAAGTGAAATTGTGAGTGGTGAACTTTTGGTCGGGCTCATTATTTGGCAGTCAATTTTGGGAAAATAGTATTTATAATGTGGTCTGGTCCACAGAAATGAAAACTTCACAGTATTTTTATGTAGATGTGATTTGAGGAAGAAAAGAACTATTGTTCTGTAAGTGTTCTGACTGTAAGATTCATAATTTATAGAGTATTCTACAGTTGGGAAGAGGAGTTATAGATACTTAATTTAAGTGACATATAAATGGTATTTTTTAAACTGCTGTAAAGGACTTGCTGTGTTAACATTTATTTTGGGGTATATTTTTTCTTAGGGTTCAGATGATTGTTTGGTGAAGATTTGGTCAACACACAATGGCCGCCTATTATCCACATTAAGAGGTCATTCTGCAGAAATTTCAGATATGGCGGTCAACTATGAGAATACGATGATCGCTGCAGGGAGCTGTGATAAGATCATCAGAGTGTGGTGCTTGAGAACTTGTGCCCCGGTCGCTGTGCTCCAAGGACACACGGGGTCAATCACATCTTTACAGGTAAACTAGGTTCAGTGTGCATATATGTATATGATCTCCTTTTCCTTTGAAACTCTTTCTCCTCAGAGGTGACAAATAGTAAGATGCTTAGCAATTGTGTGATCTGTTTTAGTAACCAAGAGAAATGTAATTAATCATACCTCCATGACTCTTGGAAGGGTGATGTAATGTCTAATGCAGTTAGAGCTTTACAGGAAGGCATGATGAATGACGTATTGCTTCTTTTAGGCTTACTATTGAACTGGGGGAGTGTCGCTTACAAACCTGAGGCTACATTAATGATTTTCCTACTTTATTTTTTATTCTTTGAGAGAGAGTGTGTGAGTGGGGGAGAGGCACAAAGGGAGAGAGAGAAAGAATCTTAAGCAGGCTCCATGCTCATTGCGGAGCCCGATGTGGGGCTCGATCTCATGACCTTAGGATCATGACCTGAGCTGAAATCAAGAGTTGGACGCTCAACCAACTGAGCCACCTGGGCACCCTGATTTTTCTACTTCAAAACCTGTGGATTTTGCTGAGTTGATTAAATTTGTTGAAGTATATTTAAACAATTTTTTCACTTTATTGTGGAAGCTAATTTTGCACATACACAAAGTAGACTCATATAATGAATCCCTAGGTGCCCATGGCTAGTTGTTCCCCAACCACTTCACTTTGTACCTAAAGCAGATCCTAGATTTCATATCCTATCTTCTGTAAGTAGTTCAATATGTCTTTCTAAAAGATGAGGATTTCTTTTTAAAAAACACAACCAGGGGCGTCTGGGTGGCTCAGTCGGTTAAGCATCTGACTTTGGCTCAGGTCATGATCTCGTGGTTCGTGAGTTCGAGCCCCGTGTTGGGCTCTGTGCTGACAGCTCAGAGCCTGGAGCCTGCTTCAGAGTCTGTGTCTCCCTCTCTCTCTCTCTCTCTGCTCCTCCCGCACTCATGCTTGCTTTCTCTCCCTCTCTCTCTCTCTCTCTGTCTCAAAAATAAATAAACGTTAAAAAAAAAAAAAAGCAACCAAAACATCATCATACTTCTTTTTTTCATGTTCAGATTTCCATTTGTCTCATAAATAGAGTTACTTTGAGCAACCGGACAAAACCTATACCTTACAATTACTGTCGATAAAAAGAAGCTTAAAACAAATTGCATTCCCTTGCCCAACTTTTAAAACCCTTTACAGTAAGTGTCTCTGTTGAAAGAGTTGGGTTCCCACAGTTTGGCTGTTATTGCTTATATCCTTGTAGAGCAGCTCAATATGTCCCTGTATTTCCTGTAACTTGGATGTTGGATCCAGAGCAGTAATTCTGTTTAATGTAGGCCTGATCACGTGGAGGCCTTGTTTCAAGCACAGATCGCTAGGCCTCACCGCCAGAGATCCTGACTGAAAATGGTGGAAGTGGAGCCTGAGAATTGGCATTCCTAATAAGTTCCCAGCTTCTCTTCCTCCTCCTCCTCCTCCTCCTCCTCCTCCTCCTCCTCCTCCTCCCTCCTCAGGCTACACTTTCAGGATCATTGATCCAAAGGCTCGATCACCTTGAGGTGTACGCTCTTCTAGGTGTGAAATGTCTGGGAGTCTCTCTGTAGTAGCCATTGACGATACTGCCTTAGCTCCATTAGTTCATTCGGAACTGAAAATGGTGCACTTGGGTCATTATTTCGAAAATCACATTTTGTTAGGAGATAATGACTTGTGAAGCCTTTTAAGGTACATTGGTGCTTCTGATTTGAATTTGGATAAAACTGGGGGATTGGTTCCATTTTCAGGTATGAATTCACCCAGGCTCTGTGCTAAGTGGTCTCCAAAGAGATTTGGTGTGAAGTCTTGTGACAAGAGAGATTTTTTCCTAAACTCTTCTGGTCAGTTTTCTTGAAGGATAGAGACAAGAAACTTATTTTTGAATGAAGACAACCGTAATCGGGATAGTGTTATATTTTGAAAATTTAAGCGAGATTTTGGTGGACCTACTTATTTTAAGGCAAGGAGTGTAATTGTTTTCTAGAAGACTGTGTTTCACAGTTAATGTTTTGTTATTTCATATGAATTTATAGGCAGTATAGCAGCAAATGAGAAAACTTCTAGTACTCTGTGCTGGTGTCTGTCCTAAAACCATTATGGAGTCCCGCGCTGTGAAAGTGGAGCTCTGGTCTTTCCTGAGGCCCATTCTTTGGTAATGGGGCCACGTGTGGTTATCATCTACTGAATATACCTGAGAAGTCTGGGTGGTAGTAAGCTTTTATACATCAGAGGTCATCTGTGCTTGCCAGTGGTTACCAAAGTTCACAGTCAAACAGGTACACAGTTTTAGTTATTAATCTTTTTCATGTTCTTTGCTCTGTTGTTACTGGCATATAGAAAACATTTTTAATTTTAGTAAAGGTTTTTTTCTTCCAATTTATATTGAAAATGTGTACGAGTAATATCGTTTGCAGAAAAATGAGCATATAAGAAAATAAGCCTCCATGATCTTACCATCTAGAAGTAGTCACTGTCAGTATTTTGGTGTACACACTTAAGGGTAGCATCATGTAGTGTCATTGGATGTAACTTACATTCTCAAAAACATTAGTATTAGTAGAACCAGAGGTAGAACCTTTTGTCTGTCTGAAAGAACAGTAAATGAACATTCCGCAGGAGTGAAAAGACATAATGTATAGCTGGTCTGGATTAGCTTTCTTTCACTTATTTACTTATTTTTATTAAAAAAAATTTTTTTTTTTAATGTTTATTTATTACTGAAAGAGTCAGAGCGTGAGCAGGGGAGGGGCAGAAGGAGAGGGAGACGCAGAATCCGAAGCAGGCTCCAGGCTCTGAGCTGTCAGCACAGAGCCTGACACGGGGCTCGAAGTCACAAACCATGAGATGATGACCTGAGCTGAAGTTGGACACCTGACCAACTGAGCCACCCAGGCGCCCCTGTTTATTTTTATTTTAAAAATTATTTTATTTGGGAGCGAGAGTGTGTGAGCAGGAAAGCGTGGCAGAGGGAGAATGAGAGAATCTGAAGTGGGTTCCATGCCCGGCCCAAAGCAAGCCTCAGTCTCACAATCCTGGGATCATGACCTGAGCTGAAATGAAGAGTTGGATACTCAATGGAATGGGCCACCCAGGTGCCCGTGGCTTTCGTGAAGAAATATGTGAGGCACTAATAAGAACTTAGAACGTCAAGATATGGTAGGTAAGGAAAGGGCAGAGAGAGGAGCCTTGAGTTGTAAGGCATTCGCCGATTCCACTGGGGGTGCCTGAAAAGCTTAGTAGAGTATTTGACACACTGGTAAGATTGGAGAGGAAATATTTTGGAAATACCTACACAATTTATGTGTAGCTGCGTTTGCAACTAATTAGAATAGAAAAAAATTACAGCAACTGGAAATTCCATGTGTACTTGGAATTCCTGAACAAGAGGACAAGAGAGAGTGGAGCAGAGCTGCACTTGAAGCGATAAGAGCTGCGAAGTTTGCAAAATGTGCTGAAGAAATAGAGCCACAGATTGAAGAAGCACCAAGGACCCTGAGCAGAATAAACATACGGAAAACTGCAGCTAGTGGACGTGGCCAGAAAACTTGTGTTTGGTTTAATTAATTAACTTAGTTTATTTTTTGAGGGAGAGAGAGAGAGAGAGAGAGAGCGCAAGCAGGGGAAGGGCGGAGAGAGAGGGAGAGAGACAGAATTCCAAGCAGGCTCTGCACTGTCTGTGCAGAACCCTGTGGGACTCGAAGTCACGAACCATGTGATCATGACCTGAACTGAAACCAAGGGTCGTTCGCTTAACCAGCTGAGCCACCCAGGTGCCCTTTCATCACAATAAACCTTTTAAAGCCAAAGAGAAATCTTAAGGTAACCAAAAGGAAAAATAAGCAGTAAGGCTGATGATTAGCTTTTCAGTAGAACAGTGGGAGTCGATAGACAAAAAAAAAATGCTCTTTATTATTTTTTATTATTATTTTTTTTATCTTAGAGAGGGAGAGAACACACCAGTGGCAGTGGGGGGGGAGAGAGGGAATCCCAGGCAGGCTCCGTGCTCAGCGCTGGAGCCTGATGCAGGGCTCGATCCCGTGACCCTGGGATCATGACCTGAGCTGAAACCAAGAGTTGGATGCTCAACTGACTGAGCTACTCTGGTGACCCCAAAGAAGTGCTCTATTTTTTTTTTTTTTTTTTTTTTTTTAATGTTTATTCATTTTTGAGAGAGCGTGAGCAGGGGGGTGCAGAGAGAGAGGGAGACACAGTGTGAAGCAGGCTCCGGGCTCTGAGCTGTCAGCACAGAGCCCAACGTGGGGCTCAAACACACAAACCGCAGGATCACGACCTGAGCCAAAGTCAGATGCTTGACCGACTGAGCCATCCAGGTGCCTCAAGAAGTGATCTTTCTGAAGTGCTGTTGGGGGTGCCAAGCTGGCTCTGTTGGTAGAGTGTGCAACTTGGTCTCGGGGTCGTGCGTTCAAGCCCCACATTGGTGGAGAGCTTTAATGAAATAAAGACATAAAAATATTCTTATATTTGGGTTTATTTAAAATTAATAAAGTGATCATTGACAGTGACTATCCATCAAGGGTTCTGAACCCATCAAATCTGTCACTGAAGCTCTCTAAACACATTTTCAGGAGTCTCCCAGCAGTGGAACAGGGGATTTCTAAATAGTCTTCTTTAGGCTGAGAGGGAAATGTGATCCTAGGCTTGGAGATGCAAGGACGAATGAAGAGTTTAAAAAAAAAAAAAAAAAGTGCAGACAAATGGAAAAAAGCACCAACTGTATACAACAAGTATATGGGTTTAAGGGTTTATGGGTTTAAAACTCTAGAAACAATTGGGGCGCCTGGGTGGCTCAGTCGGTTGGGCGTCCAACTTGAGCTCAGGTCATGATCTCAAAGTTTGTGGGTTTGAGCCCCGCATTGGGCTCTGTGCTGACAGCTCAGAGCCTGGAGCCTGCTTCGGATTCTGTCTCTCTTTCTCTGCCCTTCCCCCGCTTGTGCGTGCACTCTCGCGCGCGCTCTCTCTCTCTCTCTATCTCTCTC